GACGGCACCTGTATGTGGCTTAAACAGTTCCCCACGGTTACAGTATTGCCGTAAGAGCGTTACTGAGTCGATTGATTGTTTTGCGGATTAGTTATCCCGAATGTAAACTAACAATTCAACCGGGTTTGTGAGGTCTGCGTAATTGGGCGTGGGGGGGTGGGGGTGGGAGGGGGTCAGTGGGTGGGGTGAGTTGATCTTCTCAATCACATGTAACTTAGAACTAAGCTGGTCATTATTGAGCTGTCGTTTACTTATTTTTAACTGGCCAGCGTCACACCAGCAACAGCGTCCGAGGATTGTTTCAGGACCGAGCCATCTCGTGATTGGGAAAAAGCATGGAAACATAACATTTGACTGGACTTTCAAACTCCTACCCGGAAGGACTTGGATCGAGAGCGTGGAAGATGTGGCTTTCGGGTTGTGGAAAGCACCAGGGTATCTGAAGACCAAACTCATGGTTATCGGCAAGTATGGGAAAGTAATAACTCGACAAAACTACAGGAACAAAATAAGCTGCACATTCAACATATCTGTTCTGCAAGTCGCATTCACGGTTCATAATCTAAGCACGGGAGATAAGAATGATTATGGTCTTCACATTGAGCTTGGCTTGGCACGGAATCCGTTAAAAGATATTGTTGCACTTCGCTTGGAGGGTAATTGTAATATTAATAATATATACCTAGATTTTTGAAAACCAGGTTAGCAAAAATATCAACTCATTCTACTAGTTGGCAATTTAAAACAAGAAAACTCGTTCAAAGGCTGATTAAAAGCGTTTATCTGACGCCGGGCAGTAAGTTAATGGTCCCCAGAAGCATTCCAACGAGTCCAACTTTAAAATGACGCAAATTTTAGAACATTTATTCGGTAATCTGCCTTCGCGAAGTTCCAAACCAGTGTCATTTCGTTCTAGAAATTTTTAAGTTGAGTGAACTGCAGCGAAAGAGTGCCTGGTTAAGGCTTACATAACAACTTAAATAGCTAGCAAAACACAAACTTTTTTCGCGGTCCGATAAACAACAGGATTTCGCATGGAATAGACAAGAAACTGAATGAAACACAGTGCACAAATTATCACCTTCTTATCTGCTAAAATCGGCCTATGGTTCAATGCCATCAGAGCCCGCTGAAACTAGACTTAGGTCCAATTTTCCTAAGTCGAGAGTTGCTTTTACAAGGTACAATCAGCTAAGCTAAACACCGACGAAACAGTATTAATGGCTCACAGAATATTTTGGCCAAACCGCAGTTCAACCACGCGATCACAACCTGTCAACACCATGCCGAAATCACACAATCACACACTTTCGCGGCACTGATAAGACTATCCACAACCACGCATCAGGGTCGGCCAGGATTTTTGGGTATACGGTATACAAGGGCTTTTTAAATTGGGTATACGGTATATCACTTTCTTTGAATTTCAGGTATAAAGTATACCTGGCTATAATTTTGGGTATATTTGGATGAATTTTGGGTATTTGGGGGTATTTTGGCGAATTTTTTTCGGGTATACTGGTATACCACTACCCCGGCCGACCCTGACGCATAATCTTCTCACGTTCAACATAAGCGAAATATCATCGAATAACTCGGTAAAACTCAGCCTATTGCCAGATAAACACCTCTGGACTTTTCTCTTACACTCGTCTTATTCAAGTTCCCGGATGTAGAGTCACACGGTCGCCGGATCACCTTAGCCTTGTTGGCACACCAGAAAAAAACTCGGCCTGGGTCAAAGTTCACCTGCAATTTTCCCCTCACCTAATTCATTTGACTCCTAAGAGCCTGTTCCCGAGGCCAAAGACTTAGTGGTCACCTTAGAAAAACGAACAATATCGTACCTTTCTGTCTCAGCCCGGATCAGGGTGATTGATCCGTTTAGCCAAATGAAACGAGAATATGATACGATATTAGACGATGCAGACTCTGCGAATCGTAATAACTTTTTCCCATCTCAGAGCTTTACATGATGCTCTCAGGGAAACTTTTCTCAAGGTGGCCAATATCTAAAAGTAAACTGCTCAACGGCACCGAAGCCAGCTTTAGGCGCGCACTGATTTCAAATAGCTGTCACTTGTATCCATGAGAGAATTGTGGGTAGGGACAAAAAAAAAAAAAGGAGAGAGGGGGGGGGGGATTGATAGTAATTCTGTCCACATCCACTTCTACACAAATCCCTAACCACAAAACAAGCAAAACAAACGACATAAGCAAACAACAGAGTAAACAAACTATTAGAAAGGGGAAGTTGAGTAAAATTTGAAAATTTTTGCTAACCCGGTTTTCAAAACTCCGGGTAGATATAGTTTAAAAACTAAAAAAGGTATTATTTCAGCGCGCGGTTAGAAATTTCCTCTTTTCTTTTGCAGGAGCACAGGGAGGTAGCTGTTTTTAAGTATCACTTTTAAGTCCAGGAATTTTTTTACTTGTACAGAGTAAAGTTTTCGAGAAAAACCATTGATGCGCGTCCTGCCATATTCTGCAAAGCTTCACTGATCTTTAGATTCTGAAAAAAGTGCTCTTTAGCCAGCAAAAGGCTTCTTCAAAAATCAAACAAAAATGTAACGTCTGTGGTATACAGACTTAATTAATAAAGCTTTGTGTAACGTAGGTAAGCGTGCCAGCCTGATGTATTTTAAGTTGTAGTGGAGTTAAATTTTCTTTGATAATGTTTATCGCACATTTCTTACCGGTAGATCCACCAAAAATTGTCAGTTCCTTGGAAAGAAACATTTCCTTGAGGGCTGGCGACAGACTGGAATTGAACTGCAGAGCGACTGGACTTCCTACTCCGCAGGTCACGTGGATACGATCTGGAAGAGGTTTTAAAAATCATACCCTTGTTGTAAACCAAGTGAACAAAAAAGACAGGGGACTGTACTTATGCAAAGCTTACAGCCCGGCTGGGGAGGATAGTATGAAGATTTTTGTTAGAGTTGAGGATGGAGACAAGCCAACGCAAGCAACAGGTGGGGAGTATCTAGTGACCAGGATGGTATACTTAAGTTTTACACGGATCATCAGACATTATTATTTTTCTGCATGTTTATTTTATTTGTCTGTTATTTCTAGCGGTATGTTTCAGCTAAGTCCTGTTATGAAGTTAATATCTAGACTAACTGAATCGTCAGTGAACTGCCAATATTCGTTAGCTTGAGTAAGACAAGTCATGCTTTAAAATTCTGGCGTTTTTTGGTTGTTTGATTTTGTTTTTATCGTGCTGATAAATGAGTTGGTAAAAACTCACAGTAAAACAGGGCCCATCAAAGAATTGGTATAATTACTTCAGTGAGGTTTACTGTAGACACTTACTTCTTTTTCTGGTTTCAGTTTCAGCTTTTGATGCAACACTTTCACAAGATAACAGTCATGCATGGATCTCAATTCTGTTATTGGCGGGCTCAACATTATTACTGGCATCGATAACATTGGCGTTGATTTTTTATTATAGGCGCAGACGTTTAAGGAAAGGCTTTTCTTACTCTTCGCAGCCAGATGCAGGAACAACTGTTTGATATTGGCGCGCTCAACATTGGCCGTGATTTTTTTATTGTATGCGCAGGTAGGGGCATTTCGATATAAAGGAGAACCATTTCCATCCTTAAGCTACTTATTATATAAGGTTTACTCCAATGAACACCAATTTCGGGTTGGAATATATCTCTTAAAAACGATCCATGGAAGACTGAACGCAGATGAAGCTGACCTGGAGGTGTGCGCAGTGCTACTCATAGTTAGGTGGCAAAAACGAAACGCGGCAATAACCACGCCACTTGTCACTATATCAAGTTTACGTAAGTAATTGACCATAATTATTCTCTCGTACACGAAAATACAGTGAAAATAAATAAAAATATTTAAAATGAAAAACACTTGAGACTAACACTCTTTCTTATTACTTTTAATGGCCTCAGTAATTCACCTTTAAGAATTAGCTTTGAATGACCTAAATATACAGGCATTGACACTTCGGCAAGAGCAAGTGAACGCTATACGAAACGTTGCAGAAAATCAAAAATGACCAGAAGTCCTAAAATCAAGGACTTCAAATCTTGTGTCTCCCAGAGCCTCCTGGTTCTCGTGCTCAGGCCTCGCCGGCTAAAGCCTGGTTTTCACTAACGCAAAAGCATAAGCACAAGCACATGTGTAAGCTAGTGAAAACTGGGCAGCCATAAGCATAAGCACAAGAAAAACGGACAAGTTCGTTCTTGTGGTTATGCTTATGCTTATGTTTATGTCGTAGCTTTGACTAGTGAAAACTGGGTCGACATTGACTATTTTCCAATTCCCCATAATACACTCTGTCTGCCCCCCCAAATTTTGCATAACTTATTGTCTTAAAATGCTCTTGGGAAAATGCAATACTCCCAGGAGCATTTAAAGACAATGGTTTATGCAAAATTTGGGGGGCAAACAGAGTGTATTATGGGGAATTGGAAAATAGAGAATAAGCACAAGTTTCAGCACAAGGCCGTGGACCAATCATAGGTCACTTTGACCCGGACCTGTTGCGAACATATCAAAAGCAATATGGCGGACGCTTCGTCTGCCATCTTGTTTATTATCGGGTTGAGGGGAGCTGCAATCGAGAATTGAGTTAAATATGCCATTCTGCGCGTGCGTCTGTCCTAATGCTTATGCTTATGCGCTAGTGAAAACCAGGCTTAAGGGAACAGGAGGCTCTAGAAACGAGAATGTAATTACTGATGATGATGGTGGTGATGATGATGATGATGATGATGATGATGATAATCGATCACGAAGTTAGTCTGCAATTTTCACCCAAAGTGACCACCCAAAAGTAAACTCAAGCAAGCAAACGGAAACAATTTTAAACAAACGCATTTAATCATAAGTAATCAAAAGTATGATTTCTTTATGACTGATACAGTGTGCGGTACTGTTAAACAATTTCGTTTCGCTCTCCATTTTCCAACCACACAAACTTACGACACCAATGAAACCTTTACACAGCATTGTCATATCAAAACGATGAAAAAAGATATGAGACTTGCTCCCCAGACAAAGTTTCCAAACGCTAACTTAACGCGTGGATATACTTAACAAAAGTTTTCATTTCTTTTTATCAAAACTACATAGATTCTAGAAATTTAATATCTAGAAGTGTAGTAATTCCTGCTTTATGAGGATAGAAAAAGAAAACAACTGTTTGCATAACTCCTGCCATTCAATTCGTCAGGTATTTGCGATTTGCGGGGAAAAAATTATATCAAATGATTGAAACGTAGTCTTTTACATACAATATTGAAGCACGAAAAGGCCTTTGTGCGCAATATTTATCAATTATGCCCTCATTTATCACAATTGTCGCCAATTATTTGAATCCATTTTCGCCCCAAGTAAGGTAATCTGGATTCCGGAATCCGGGAAATTTGCTTGTGGAATCTGGAATCCTGCGCTTCAAGCCAAAATTCAGCTCTATCCGTTATCCTGTTAACGATTAGAATCCGGAATCCAGTACCTGGAATCCGAAATCCACAGCGTCAAATCCAGACTTCAAGACTGTCTTGGATTACCTTTTATTATGGGACAACTATTTTTTACGTTTAAGCATTTTTCTCAGACTTAAAACTACTAGATAAACCTGTACTTAATCTATTCATCCACACTATCGCAGTTTGAAAAACCCGGGAACCATTAAAAGTTTTCCAAAATATTCCTGAGAAAAGAAAAAAATTCATTCAATACCAACGCTTGAAAGTCAAAAAGGACTACATAGTTTTACATAACTTGAAAATGCAACAGCAATGTATGACCAAGAAGCACAATCAGGGTGTTCGATCGGGGGCTTTGTCAGTGAAATGTTTGGAGAGCGAGATTACTTCATGGTCAAAATATCACGAATATCGTCTGTAAGCTGTAAAACTGCTTACACTTTGTTGACCTAGCTTGCTAGTTCAAGTCCAGTTTGTTTTTGAGTCTGATACACACCTTGTTGTTTTTGGAAATGAAATGCCAAACAAATACAGTACAACTAGGTGACATAAGAATGACAGGTCGACAAAAGGCAACGGAAAAAGCTTTACCTGTCAAAAATTCTTCTAAAATAAAATCCACTTCACTTTCATCTATTTCCGTACTTAGAACTAGATCTACATTACTGGTGAGACTTACATAATTTCAAATAGTAGAAAATATCCAAAAAGTATATTTGCCATCGGAAAGATCGGTATAAAGGTACTTGCAGAGGTGGGTGTTGAAGACGTACTTGAGTATGAACCTGTAAATAAACCATCGATATATAGTCAACAAATATTACACGAGGCAGAGTACATTATAGACGTGAAGAATTATAGGATAGGGTTTCATAAGTTAGTGACATTTTAGATAGAGTTGTTGGTCCATCAAAAACCAGAAAATGGTGCAAAAATATGAGAAATGCACATATTTCTGGTGTTTCATTTCATTCAATTTTCCGAGGGTGCATCTATGCACTCTAGATCCACTTCACTTTCCCTCCTCAATAAAGAAAGGGCTTACACCCGTGCAATGTGCTCTCGAGACTAAAAGCCCTTTACTTAAAAGATACAACAAGCAAATTTTGTGCCCCCCACCCCAGTACTTCAAGGCTTGCCAGGGCCCTATGCTAACAATAATCAAGTAAAAACCCTTAACACCAATAAAAAAACTATTATAAGCATCTCTGCCAATGGCTACAGTGACGAAAAGAAAATCTACTCAGATTGAAACAATTATTGGGACGATTGTGATTGTGATTGTGGAATATCCTTGGCTATTCACTGTTTTGCAACCGATGGCGTCTCGTTTCAAAAAATTTTCGAAACACGAAATTTGGGCGATAAATGAAGCCGTCGCTCAAAATAAAATACCAAGAAAACGATGAATTTTGGCTTGTCAGTGCTTACTGGTAGGTAGAAAACTATTTCCATGCTCAACAGGCCACTTGCACTAAAAGGTCACGTAACCAATGCTTTCTTTAAACAATGAGTTGGAATATTGCTGACACCAAAAATTGACAGAACACAAAAAGAATTTGAGAGGAAACGCATTTAAGGGAGATATTTTATGGCACTTTTATGGATCTTTTATGGATAGTATAGTAGTATGATTTGTATTGGCCGCCATGTTGGAGGGCATACTCCTCGCCCAAACTACTTTTTGCTTATATCTTGTTAAATGTTTGATAGTTGCGCTCAGATGTGCTTTAAACGTTACCACATCATCTTTTCAACATTTTCCTTGAAATTTAAGTGCAAAATGTGAGTTCAGAAAGAGGTAATTCATAATTTTAAAAATCACATTTTGGTAAACCAGCTACGAAGTTACTCACGCTAAGAAAATGGTGCAGGTTTGAAAAACCAAATCAGTATTATTTTGTTTAAGATATGACCCACTAATCGTTTTTCGAGGGCAAAATCATATAACTTTCATTTTCATAAAACGATGTCACATGACCTCTTAGTGCAAATGGCCTATTTGCAACAAAATCGTGATAATGCACTTAACACTAACCCGAAATGTTTCTACTAAAGTTCCTACTAAGTGACGTTTTTATTTTACAAATAGTTACTTCTTTTCATTATGATCCAACTGATTTGGTAAATACTAAAACAAATAACCCCCTCAGGGTCGGTGAACAGCGCTAGATATATACCTCGACGCTTCACGTCTCGGCATATATAACCACCACTATTCACCTCCCCCTCAGGGGATAGTTGTATGCTATATTACGGAAAAGGTTGCTTATATGCTGATCACTATTCATTATGACAGGAATTTTCAGTCTCACAGCTTTACTAGGCTAACTACTAACTTCTGAGAAAAACAGTTCTCCTGTCTTCTCCCGCTTCATTTTGGGTGACACAAGTGTACTCGCCCCAGTCTTCTTGAGTAATATTAAATAGCCCGATCACCACAGTGGAAGTACCGTTACCATGGTTGCTGACGACATTTTTTCCTCTGTGCCACGTGACATTGAGAAGAGATAACCCGCTGGCTGTACAACTAAGGTTTACATTTTCTCCCGTTTTAAGGATCGGTGGTGTGGTGATGTTGGTGATTCGTGGCAAATCTGCAATGGCTAGAAACAAATTCATGGCAAGAGAATGGATCAACTTTCAACATTTTACTACTAGAATCATACTCTTGGTTAAACCGCTGATTCTCGCTGTCACCTGGAGGTACTTTCCATTCAGCCCAAAATTCCGGAAATCAATTTACAATCAATAAAATGCAAATAGTTGTATGCTATTTGGAACTCCTCTGAGTCAGTTCAGCTTAAAAATTATCTTATGATGCTCATACATTTCCAATGAAACCACACTGCGTTGGTCTCCACGTTAAGAGAAAGAGAGAAAAGTCGGTGAAGGATTTTCATGAACCGCAGATCGCATAGAAGCTAAAACGATGAACGAACAACTAAGCTAAAAGAATGCGATGCCTCATATAATGATGTGAGGCAATTGTGTGAGGTAAGCAGGGTGGGAAAACATGCTTAACTAGGCGTCGCCACCAAATGGGAAGGTATACGTACGAATAAATGTGGGAACTATACTGAAGACTCCAAAAGAATTTTCTCATAGCTTAGTTTTAAATCGTTCCTTTATTCCAGTTGCAAAATCGTTGGAACAGAACAGAAATTCGAGAAGTTCAAGTAGTTGATACTATATATAAGGGAGTCGACATAAAAAGCATGGTATTATGAATTCATCGCTCATATTTTAATTCATCTTTATTTTATGGGGAGTTAACATAATTAAAAACATATATATATATAAATAGCCACATGCCAGTTCTACCTACGTTTTGCCACGACTAGAAGCTGGACTATGTCTTTCAATGGATTGTCCGCGAGTCCAAACTCAACTTGTATACCAAAATCCACATTTCCGTCGGCCGGCTGAACATTATATAAAACAAAAACTGCCAGGGAAGATGTCAGATTTCCATCCCAACTCACCGCTGTCTCGTAGCCTACTCTTACACTTATAACCCCCTTTGAATCGACTGCTATAAGCTTTGGATGCAAGTAACCAGGACTTTTCCAGTAACCAAAGACGACCTGAAAGAGAGTTAGATGTGCAGGCTTATAGTACTGCCAAACCAGTGAAACGTTGTCTCCAATAAAGACCTTGGTTGGTTTATCTGGTGTAGAAATCATTTTCTGTCGATCTCCTGTTGGTAAAATACCATAGATTAGCGTGATACTTGGTTCTGATAGACATAGTATCTCGTATTGATCAAGGTACATCTATGTTCTGGTAGCTTATCGGATGTGTGACAGCTGGCGCGCACGAACCAAGGGGCCCCAGTGACACAGGACTCTCGGTTTCAGAGGCATGAACCACCTTGAAGTATAAATACTCGAACTCGTTCAACTTGACTAGATTTCTGGTTAGTTCAAAAGAAGCAAAGTGGTTTTAAACACTGAAAAAATATGGTTGAAGCACAAGATAAACTCCAAATAAAGCTATCGACAGATGGCAAACAAAATTAGTGAAAACTGTTTGAATGCAGAGGTCCACGCAACGGGTAAATATAACTGACTGGTTCCTCTTGCCGGATCTCTAATTAAAGAGATGCTGTAGCCAGACGTCACTTAAAGTGTAAAATAAAACAAAACTGATATGCAGGGCTGGCACTACGGCAAAGGGCTGATTTATTATAGGCCAATATTTCGGCTAACAAAATTAGCCTTCCTCAAGGCCAGAGCTTTTAACGGCTCCTAATATTTGAATTTAAAATAAATATAAGTGGTTAATAATTAACTACAATTATTGCCCCCGCAGGGATTTCGCCCAGAACGCGAAATCCCGAGGAGGCACTCTAGTAACTCGAGCGTATATGTTGTAGTTAATTTTTTATTTCAGGTAATTTTTCTTTTTCTTTTGTTTTTGGGTATGGTAATATATGCTAATGAAGTTCAAACAAAAGAAAAAGAAAAATTACCTGAGATAAAAAATTAACTACAACATATATATAGGAAAGTACTTACAGCTGAAATATACAGGCATTATGCCAGGAAAAATCTCGATTTGCTTGAACAGGGGCCGCGAGGAATCGGTAGGTAATGATGACGTATCTATTGTTTGCGCCCGCAAGTACGAAATGGTTAGGATGACGTAAAGACAAAAAATCCCGAAGGGACCGCTTGCTTAGATTTTGTGACATTTATTGTGCAGTCATACTTGGATAGTCTTTTGCGTTACGTGTTATCAGTGACATTCTGCGGAGCTGTTGTTTTGAAAGTTATGGACCAAAAGACACTCGTTAACCGCAGATGAACTTTTAAGATTCGTCTAACTGTGTATATATAAACACTTGGAGAGTTTGCCAGACACGAGTTCACAAATCTTTGATCGGAAACCTTGCCAGACACTCTTTCTCTCTCTTTGACCATAATAAGACTCAGCCCCAAACAAGCAAGACGAGTGAACAACGGCTAGCTTATCACTAGCAGAACGATGGACGATTACAGAAATTCGCCGACAATCAAATTTCTGTGCTGACTTATTCCCTGCCGTCCTTCCGCTACAAAGTTTAAAATAAGACTAGACAGCTGACTAGAATGCGAGAGCGTGAATTGGTCAAACGTCCTTTTAATTTCTAAGGCTTACTTTCCGGCAAAAAACATGAACTGAATGTAAAAAGTGAAAGAGAAATAGCGAAAAATTCAATTTCTAATTAAATCTTTTCTTATGGTTTAGAATAAACTATTCTCGAAACTGAGAATGTTTTTATCAAAGTTGTGTAGTCGAACTGAAACTTGCGTTTCTTGTATTTATCTCACCCATTGTATGGAATATGTGTGAAAATCTTCGTTATGAACCGGTATATTTCAAAGAGCTACAGAACGAGCAAGAATCGAATACTATTGACCGACAAGGCAGAGCGGGGGCAGTTGTAGGGTCAACTATTACTGGTTAATACTAGATAGAATAATATACAGGTAAATGATTATACAATAAAAATAGAAATAGAAACAGTTCAATGTTCATTCCTTCGTTTCAGACCGTTTGCCTCTCCTTTTTTGGAAATGCCTGAATTAACCTTCCGCGGAAGTCAGTGTTAACACATGCCCCGCACTTTTTTCTTAATTCGCCTTAAAGATACAAGAAAAAAAAGGAAACTCTCTGAGTGCATGGTCAGGTGACCAGAGAACTTGACCAAGTGATTTACAATGAATAGAAACCAACAAGGCTGTCGTGTTAGTCATAATAAAGGAAGCTATGACAGTGATCAGCACACTAAATTGTTGGTGAGATATGGATATTACTCTCAAACCTGACGTATTTTCTGACTAGACAAGTAAAAAAGAATATACTTCTACCTCATGCGAGAAGGCAAAAATATGACTAGTCTGCTAGAACAATATATTTAAGAAAATCTATAAGCTTCTAGCTGCAGATTTGAGTGAAAGCGCAATTGCCCTAAGGCACACAAAGACCTACAACAAAGTTTCATTGTGTCAAGACCTACCTGATATCGCTGAGTAACGGCCACTTAGTGCAAGAAAAGCAATTATGGTGAAACTCTGCCAGAATCCCATTGTCAGACGTTATTTAGTTTTCAATTAGCAGTCATTCAAGAAATGTTTCGTCTAAAGGTGATGAGTGCCATTGAAGAAACTCCTTTAGGTATGGAGTAAATAAGGCTGCATAACTTTGAAGTGCAAACACGGAATGGAATCTTTGTAAATTAGATTGAACGTCTTCCCACGAACGACTGATGCTGTCTAAGAGACGCGGATACGCTAATCTCGAGAAGGGGAACTACCGAAACCGTTATCTTCAGATATTACAGGAATGGAGCTCGAAATCCACGATAAGAACAGGTTGCAACTCTTAAGAAGTTTGTTACGATTTATACTAGTTTCCAAGAATTATACGCCTGGCTAGTTTCTAGGAAAAAGTGAAACCCACCCAACAACAGGAAACCAATCTCAAAATAATCGGTGCTCTTGTTAGCGTATGGATCGATATCATATTCCACAAACGTTTTTTAAAATTTGTCTAGTTGTATGGCTTGTAGAGTAACGACTATGACAACGTTCTAATTTATTTAACATTTTTAGTCCACCGCTTTAGTTGTTGTTCGGTTAGTTTTAAAATTCAGTTTCGTAGTTAAGCGGTCGGTTCGATCTTTTGCTGCGCTTTGCTCTGCTTAAGTAAGCACATACCCATTTAGTAGAGTTTCAATGATTTGAAAAATATTTTTGGACGAAAACTCTTGGCTTTATGCCGAGACCCTCGTCTAGAGCTCAAATTTCACATAACTTTAGCTTGGCTTATAGCCGAATAAATGCGGGAAATAAAAATATTGTTGTCTCAATCCCGATAAGAAAAGTGTTATGATGATAATAATGATGATGATGATGATGATGATGATGATGATGATGATGATGGTGATGGTGTTGGTGGCGGTGTTGGTCAGGTGTTGGTGTTTGTGATGATGATAATGACGACGCAACAGGACTCCGACAACTGTGTTTCTAGGTACAGTCGCTCTCATTGAGGGTGGATAAGATCGATCCCGGATATAAAAAGAAAAACAGGAAATAGTTGATCATAATGGTCTCTTACTAAGTAAAGTGGAAAAGAGTTTGAAGATGAGAGGCAATTAACGAGGGATTCAGTTACTGACGTAAGACATTAAGTTCAAATCAGTGCACATGCATTACAGTAAAAAGGACAAAATGGGAGTAGTTTCCTTCCTGTCAAAACGTGTGGCTCGATTGTTATTTTAATGCCTTTTTGTTTTCACACAGCTAAATGTATATAAATAACCGAAAGATAAAACCTGCAAAATGGACGACTAATTAAAAAAGTCTTAATATTGGAAATTTAGTCATCGGAAATTCATGCAGTGATTCCTAAACTTAGAAAACATCCCTTGGTAAAACAGGGGTCATACATAGCGAGAAAAGGCCGTAAAAAACATTTGTATTTTGATGCTCCCTTCAGAAGCACCGTTCAGTCGATGAGAACGGCTTTCGAACGATCGAACATATTTCTTGGAAATGGCCAGGGTTCGTTTAACTCATCCCTAAGCTGCACCAGCTAGGAACATGAACGTTTGGGTTGTCATTAGATCCCATCGACCGAAGCCCCTTCAGACACCTCATGAAATTTACACAAAGTAGTTTTGAATAGGATGTTTTCTCGGAAAAGCCACTCAAAGGCCAGTAGGAGTTTATTTTCGTTTGCGGAAAATTTCGCAAAACTCTTCTGTTTTCCTGACAAACAAAACGATGTAAAAAAAAAGCATACCGTAAAATTCCGAAAATAAGCCCCGGGGCTTATATTTTTTAAAGGCCCTTTTTGATGGGCTCATTTTTGGAGGAGCTTATATTCGGAGGGGCTTATCTACGGAAGGAAATTTGCGTTTCAAAATCGAATGGGCTAGCCTTATTGTTGGAAGTAAATTTACCATTTTTGCTTTGTTTTTGTTTGCATTTGATTGCAATTTTCCAAGTACTTATATTTAAAGGGGCGATTTAACGGAGGGTTTTTTGCGTTACCGGATTGGGGGGCCTATATTTGGAGGGGCTTATACATGGAGGGGCATATTTTCGGAATTTTACGGTATATATATATCAAAATTTCTGGTGCACTTAAGAAGGACGGCTTTAATAATAGGCCATTTGCACGATGGCGTCATTTTACTATAACTACTACCACAGGAAAAAATAACAGATTCCCATTTTTGGATATTTTAGGGTATTTAAAGAATACCCACAAAAATCCCAAATTTGGAAGACTGAGACAAGTCCTAACCAGGGAACTTGGTTGGGACTTGTCTCACTTTGCCAAATTTGGGATTTTTGTGGGTATTCTTTAAATACCCTAAAATATCCAATAATGGGAATCTGTTATTTTTTCCTGTGCCTATACCTTTTCGTTTTTCCTTTCATATTTAAATTTTGTAATCCCAGTGAGGTTTGAATAACAAAATCCCTAATTCGCACAAGAAAGCAAAACCTTGAAGGATTCTGGTCGTAGCAGTAAAATGATGTCATAGCTAGTGCAAATGGCCTATTGAACAATACTATTGTCGCCACTGCTCGCAGTATATGACAAAGACTTTGCAAACGTATGAAAAAGTAGCTTTAGCCTTACAAAATTTCCACTCAGCCACAATACTGTTACTTTGTGTCATTTTGAACCTATGCATTTCAGGAAAGCAATATTTTTAATTCAATCAGCGGCAGAGAAGGAGACTAACACTCTCCTGTTCTAGCAAAAACGACTGCCGGAAGTGTAAAAACTTTGTTTGTATTTCTTATCTATATAATTCAGTAAGAAGAAGATAAGAAGAACTATATCACGGACTTTCTTTGATATTCTATGGGTAATCCCAAATCCAACATTTTAAAAGAAATAATTTTAAAAAGGCTCTTATCGCAATCCCATCGCGGGGCGTGAAAATGGGCAGCTTCCGCGGAACTCAGACCTAGTAAATTCCGCTCGGGAATCGCGATTACCGTTTACACATTCAAATGAAATCAGTATTTTACCGAAAAATGTTGCGAAAGCCTGAAACTGAAAAATAAAAGCTAACTTTGAAGAAATAACTTTGGACTGTAATTTGCGTTGGGAAAGTTCTACGACATCACGAGGAAGACTCGGCTGTACCTTTTTTTAGAAACACTCCCACAAATTTTCCACTGAAACGACCCGAAATTAAAAGTCGTATTGCTCGTACTTTCAGACTGGATTTTCCGAGAACATTTTTAAAATAAAGCTAAAAAAAACACGGGATAACGTAGCTATGATTCCATGAATTGCTGGAAAATTAAAGTTAAACACAAATCGAATAATCAGAAATTTCCGGGTCAGAACGTGTTAACAAACACTATACGAACCCGGAAGCGGGAGAATCTGCCGTGCGTCTAGGTAACTTGTTTTGAACATAGGCTTTTTCTAGGAATTGTCAGGACTCGAAGAGGCTTGTTTTTTTTTTTTTCATTATTTCCGAGAACTATTCCCAGAAAAAGATGCCACAATGGCTTAATAAGAACTATTACACATCAAGTGGACTTGATTGAACGAGCAATGCTATTCTATCTGAGGTGTGACATTTTATTAAGGCTATGTTTAATAATCCGTGGAAGGCAAACGTATAAATTTCTAGCAATTAAGATATATAGGTTCCGCTCAAAAAAAAAAATCTTCAACGAACACATCCAAGATGTTATTACTTTATGTTATTCTGAATCTTTGCATTGCAGGTAAGTTAAACAAAATTTAATGTCAATCGGACGTGTTTCTAATCCCCTGTATTGATACTGGCCTGTTTGGGGGAGAATAGTCTTCACGGCTAAACTGATCGCGTACGACTGTCGAGGATAATCAAGCGCGTCAAACAAGCGACAGCACGGAATGCTAATTTATGCTTGTATTTCCTTAACCGTAAAACAGAACGACAAAAAGTATACTTCCTTTGATATTATGGTTACACGGTATTCTGAAATTCTCATTATGATACGATTAGTTATCTAACTCGTAAACTCGTAGTTAAATTTGTGTGAATTTAAATTATAAAAATTGCAAGGGAAAACCGACTTAACTAAAAGCGAGCTGAATTATACAAAACGATGAGACTGCGAGATCGTTTCTCGCTTGCAATATAATATAACGTGGCATTCACGAGACAGATAATGAACTTTTCTTGAATCGCACTGAACCTTTTGTAAATAACCTGAAAAGCCCGATTTACTTACATCGTTCGCTTTGGCTACCTGTGAGTTCACCTGATTTTAAATCGTCTCAGTTCTGATTCAGGTATCGGCAAGTTGGCAAAATAAACCGTATTTTAACAAAAGAAACACTTGATTTACAATTTATCGAACTGTCACCGAATCACAGAAAAAGTTTTTTTTCTTAACAACTTTTCAATACTGAATTTAAAGTAAAATATTACACAGAACGATTATTTCGTGGTAAACATCTTTTTTTCCCAGAATCATAAGCGTCAAAACCGAGGGATTATGAACCTTTCGTTTTCGTCTCACTGTCATAACAAAAATTTTACATAAGTACTTCCCATTTTTCAAGGAAAACTATTATTAGCGACACATAATTAAACTAGTGCAGAAAATCGGGAATCTTGGATTGCGGGAATCTGGATGAAAAGACACGTAACAATCAGGTCTCGGTTGTTGGACAGTGCTATCCATCGGGTAAATCTATGTCCAGGGGATAAAGGTCAAGGAAACCAATTCCTTCATTCACTAGATAGACAATTATTCAGGGAATAGTGTTATCCAGTTTTTGAACAAATGGGGCCAGACTGGAGTCATATTAACAATAAGCACTGCTAACCCGTCACCGAAAAAGGAGGAGAGGATGTAGATCGCATCAACTGATTGTCAAGCTGTTTTTAATTTTGGAAGCTTTTTAAGCAAGATTCCAAGAATCAAATTACTTACAAAAGTAAAGGGAGTGAAGGGGTGAAGTTAGTTGGGAAAGGGACACCTTAATTAACATATGGTTAATATGGTCTCTTTGAAAGTTTCCCCAGGGTTACGGCCGTAAGCACCTTGAAGTCTGAAATGAATATTTTGCGGACTTCTTATCCCGAATGGAATAAAACTTTTGGCGCTGGTCTCTAACTCATGAACGAGCGAAAGTAAACCGTTCCATTAATACTTCAACCGGGTGGTAGGTTTGTTCAATTTTATGTAGCAAACTCATAAGCTGATGATTGAGCCGTCGTTTAATTCTTTTTAACTGGCCAGTATCACACCATCAACAGCGTCCGAGGATTGTTTCAGGACCGAGCCATCCCGTGATTGGAAAAAAGCATGGGAACACAACATTTGACTGGACTTTCAAACTGCTACCCGGAAGGACTTGGATCGAGAGCGTGGAAGATGTGGCTTTCGGATTCTGGAAAGCACCAGGATATTTAAAGACAAAACTCATGGTTATTAGCAAACATGGGATAGTAATGACCCGACAAAAGTACGGGAGCAAAATAAGCTGCACATTCAACAAGTCGCTTCTGCAAGTCGCATTTACGGTTCATAATTTAAGCACAGGAGATGAGGACGATTATGGTCTTCACGTTGAGCTTGGCTTGGCACGGAATCCATTAAAAGATGTCGTGGCGCTTCGCTTAGAGGGTAATATCATATTAATTTGATCATAAATAATATCACATTATTAAAAATAAAAAGTATGGAAATTCACTTACACTGAACATAAAAAGTATATTAGTTCTTTCAGCGCTATTGGAAATCTCGTCTTTTATTTCACGACTTATTAGGTAGGCAGGGATTCTTTTAGTTGTACAAACTTTTGTGAGAACAATCCTTTTAGTTGATGCAAAGTTTGTCATATTCTGTAAAGCGTCATCGATCTTAACATTGAGCTGATGAAAGTGCCCTTTAGCTGACAAAAAGGTTATTCAAAAAGCTGACCGTACGACGTACTCAAGTCGATTAAGGCCTGGGTCTTTACAGATTTCTCACAATTTTTAAAGGGGGATGGTGTAATGAAAAGTATTTTCCCATCAGATAAAGAGCAACCCGTTGACCTTTTGTAGGTCCAAAAAGCTAGCTACTAACAGTCTTCTAGTAAAAGCGATAGGAATGAGACGAGGTCAATAAACGTCTTTCCCCTCACGAATATTCTATTCAGCGGAGGACTTGCGCTAGACAATGAACGCCAATCGACCACTACAGAAAATACCATAACATACCATAATGCTCTTTGTTTGTCACCCCAAAATTTTGCATAAGCATTGTTTTCAGTTTCTCTTGGGAGTTAAAATGGCCCCAAGAGAAACTGAAAACAATGCTTATGCAAATTTTTTGGGTGACACACAAAGAGCAGTATGGTATGTTATGGTATTTTCTGTAGTGGTCAATTGCACCTGCCAATGGGCCATTTACACGATGACGTCATTTACTACTAAGACCAGAATTCATTTCGTTTTTCCTTTCATATTTAAATTTGGTAGTCCCAGTGAGGTTTAATTAACAAAAACCTTAAGTTGCACAAGAAAGCAATACCCTGCAGGATTCTGGTCGTAGTAGTAAAATGACGCCATCGTGCAAATGGCCTATTGTAACGCTCCGAAGCATTCCAAGCTGATTTCGTAGACACTTTGTAGGGTCAATGTTTTGATACAGAGAAACTGGAGCTACTCGTTTGGCAAGTGATGGGAATAGTTGGTCACAATTTTTGAACAATAGAGGGCGTGGTCGGTTACGTGACCAAATAATTTGAATTTCTTTTTTTCCAGTTTTTTAAAGTTTATTATCTATCATTCCTCGTGGATGTCTTTAACAATAGTTTTTGGAATAAAAACCATAAATGACTTAGACCCAGGCCTTAATCTACTTGAGTAGGTGAACGTGCCAGCCTGATGGATTTAGTGTACTCGTTTATGAGATTAGTGGAGCTAACTTTTCTTTGATAATTTTTAATCGCACATTTAAAAACGGTAGATCCACCAAAAATTGTCAGTTCCCTGGAAAGAAAAGTTTCCCTGAGGGCTGGAGACGAACTGGTATTGAACTGCAGGGCGACTGGACTTCCTCGTCCGTAGATCTCGTGGTCACGATCTGGAAGAGTTTTTAGAAATCATACCTTAGTCGTAAGCCGAGTGAACAAAAAAGACGGTGGGCTGTACCTATGCAAAGCTTACAGTCCTGCAGGGAAAGACAGCATGAAAATTTTTGTTAGAGTTGAGGATGGAAACAACGCAACACAAGCAACAGGTGGGGAGATCTCTTGACCAGGACTGTATACTGTAGTCACATACAGGGATCATAACACGGACATTATCGGCTTTTTCCATTTTTTTTTTTTATTTTTGTCTGCTGCTTCTAGCTGTACGGCCCAGGTCCTCTTATGAAGTTAACATCTAGACTAACTGAATCGTCAGTGTATTCGTTAGCTTGAGTAAGACATGCTCTCAAGCTGATTCTGATGTTTCTTGTTTTTTTATTTATTTTATTTTTTTTTTTGGAGAGCGATAATGATAATAATAATAATAATAATAATAATAATAATAGTTTATTGATATCCCTCTCGAAGCCTAAAGACTGAATTAACAAGGAAGGTCAGTGATACTAACAGAAGACAATACAATACAAAAACAATCAAATAGATAATTATGTAAATATGATTAAAAGCACTACATATTAGAGAAAAAATAACAAAGCGCAGGATTACAACTGGTCTTGAAACTTAATGGTGCAGAAATCTGCGAATCGCTTTGTCTTGGGGACAAGGCGCACCGGAACACGTTCGCCTGAACGGAGGCAGTATGGCCTGTCAATTGACACACAAGGAATTAATGGCTTGAGTACCGGAGACGACAGGCAGTCACGCTTGATAAAATTAATGCAAGCCTCCTCCCTTCTCTGGGAAAGTGCAGTGATGCCAGATTGAGTTAGGGCGTCGTCATAGTGACAGTTCGGTAAAACGATGCGTAGGGCCCTTTTTGGATAAATGAGTTGGTAAAAACTCTAGATAAAGTAGGACCCACCAAAGATAATTATTTCAGTGAGGTTTACTGTAGACACATGCTTCTTTTTCTGGTTTCAGATTCAGCCTCTGGCGCAACACTTTCCCAAGATAACAGTCATGCGTGGATATTGATTGTGATATTGGCAGGCTCAACGTTAATACTTGCATCGATAGTATTGGCGGTGACTTTTTACCGCAGACGCAGACGCTTAAGAAAGGACATTCCTTACTCTTTGCAGAGAGATACAGAACAACTCGGTGTTAAATTATAGACCACTTCTCCTACCCTTATCCAAAGCCGCACCGCTGCTTTTTTTCTCCTTTCTTTTTTACCCGATATCGAATCGAAATTGATAAAAAAGAACCTTTTTCATTTTGAGGCTATTGACAGGGTTTAAAACCAATGAACACCACTTGAATTTATTCTCTTCAACGGAACAACGCAGTTTAAGCTGACCTGACGGTGCGCGCGTAATATGGGCAAGAAACAACAACCTCGACAAGACACTAGTATATATCAAGTTTGGGCGAAAAAAAACTTTCACGTAGATAAAAGATCAAAAGAAACTTTTTAATTCCAAAAATAAAGCAAGACAGAAAAATAATCCTGAAGCTCCCTGAAAGCAGACACGTTTCAGTTTTTAATTACATTTAATTGCTCATATTTACCTTGAACTGAAGTTGTTCATTATAAGAGTCTCTATGATAACTGATCAAGATGCTGCTTGTAGTGAGGATAATGGTGATGATGATGGTGAATATTAAGATGATTTATGCTGGTAATGATGTTATTGATGATGATGAAGACGACAATGACAATAATGATCGATCATTAGGTTAATGTGTAGTTTTCACATCAAGAAGTAAACACAAGCAAACAAAGGGAAAGAATTTCTAACAAATGTATTTAATCATCAGAAATCAAAAATATCATGTCCCCATGACTGACTCTGTGTGCATTGCTTAGGACTTTTTCCCAATAACAGCAACTTACGGCACCAGTGGGATCTTTTCACAACATTGTCACATCGAAAACCATGAGAAAAAAAATGGCTTAAAATATAAGTCTTGCTCCTGACAAAGTTTCCAAAAGCTTACGAAAAGTGTGGATCTAACTATTTAAGAAAAGTTTTTTTCTTTTCTAAAACATCATAGATTAAAAAAGTTTAAGGTCTAGGAGAGGTGTTAAATGATTGCTGCTTTATGAGGACAGGAAAAGAAAACAAGTGTTTGCTTGACTCCTGCCATTCAATTTGTCAAGTATTTGCGATTTTTGGAAAAAAAATTCAAGTGACGTATCAAATGATTGAACTGTATTTTTTACACGTCAATCAATCTTTTTTGCAATTTTTTTATTCAATTCCTTAATTCAACCCTCTTTAAAAAAGTTGTCACCAGTAATTGAACCCCTCGCCCCATATATAAGAAAATCCGGAATCTGAGATCCAAGCTCTACTGGCAAGGAATCCTGTAATCCATAGCGTGGATTCCAGAATCAAATACTGTCTTGAATTACCTTACACAGGGGCAGATATTATCTTAGACTGTTCACAGTCCTCTATTTTTCCGTAAGATCATCGAGATCGAGAGCTTTGCGTTACGGGCTACCCATATCTTGCATGAGTGTCAAAACTACCTACTGTAGGGGGCAGGGGCGGTTTGGGAGGAAGCGAGAAAAATAGAGGGACTGTAATAACATCACTGCAGCTCACGTTCAGGAGGCGTGACAGGAATTTCACCCCTTTTACCATTCATTAATTAAGAAACTCCGCTGGTGATGAAAAACATGCCAGACACATTTAGCATTGATTACGCGTGTTTACAGATATCTCCTTTCGAAACAGTGATTTTATAATGTTTCTGGGCCATTCCTCGAAATAAAATTGGCAAACATGCACAAGAAAACATTAATTTCCTGATCAAAAATACCAAAAGTCCTTCGTGTGTTTGCGCAAGATGTGCCTTATGGTATGAAAGCGTACGCTTAATGGAAACGTCGACTTGTCAATGTCGGCAATTTAAACTAAACCCGTTGTCAACGCAAATTAACATGTATTGTCTAATGACCAATTAAATGCCTGCGTTGCTGGTACAACGCGCTCCTTGAACGCGAGCTGCAGTGATGTTATTACAGTCCCTCTATTTTTCCCCGACGCCCGCCCACTCGGTAGATTTGAAAATCAAGATAGCCGTGACGGTAAGACGCGGTATATCTAAACGATCTCACGAAAAAATAGGGGACTGTGAACAGTCTAATATTATCTTTTTATGTTCAAACTTTCCCAGACCTAAAAACTATTCGATGAACCTCCATTTGTACTCTTCCACACAATCGCAGTTTGGAAAACATGGGAACCAGATTAAAAGTTCTTCAAACTATCCCTGAAAAGAGAAAAAATACGTATATTAAATACCAGTGGTACAATGAAAAGTAAAGAACGGCCAGAAGAGCCCCTGGGGACAATGTCTTACCAGACCAGTTCTAAACGCTAGCCGCCTTTCTGTCTTCTGATTGGGCAGAAAAACACAAAAGTTTTCTGGCACCAATCAGAAGTCAGAACGGCGGCGACTGTTTGGAACTGGTCTGGTAAGACATTGTCCCCAGGGGCTCTTCTCGCCGTTCTTTACTTTTCTTCGTGCCATATTTTTCCGCCCGTTTAGACTTTCCCTCGCCCCCACTATCTGCCCCTGGGTCTCCGAGGATGCAGCAACGTATGAGCAAGACGCAAAGTTTAATTGTTAGACAGGAATCCTAGGTCATGCAATACTTGGAAATCGCTGGTCAAAACATGGAATAAAACCTTAAAAATATACACTGCCTTAGTCCCGATACGAACCTTGTTGTTTTTGGAAATAAATGCCAAACAAAGACAAAACAACTAGTTGTCATCAGAACGACGTGATTAACAAAAGAAAGACTCTAGGGAAGGGCTACATCAAGCCAGAGCTTATCGAATACTCTTCTAGTCCATTTCTTTTTCATCTATTTCTGTACAAATCAGTTTGAAAACCACTTAATTAATCTGCTTTGAACTAAAACTATTAATATTCTATATTACTAGTACTGCTTACACTATGTCAAATAGTAGACAATATGCAAAAATTATATTAATTGCCATTGGCAAGGCCCGTATGGCACCCGCAGAGGTAGGTACTGGAGAAGTGACTGTGTTTGAACCTGAAAAGAAACCAGAGATTAAGTAAAACTATATCACTACAGACACCATTGGAACCGACTCTTAACTTCCATCTTAAATAGGCGTCGCCTCATAGAGGGTCGGTAAAGCTTGGTAGGGAGCAATTCTAGGTGTCCGTTTTTCGGGCTGGAGGAAAAAATTAAATCTGAAAATCCTGACTTAGACTACGAGAAAAACTACCGTGTTCTGAATTAACTGAATCAATCAGGCCAAAAATGATCCACTTAATAAAATGATAATTTAATACTATATTAGGTTATCTCCAATAATCCAGCAGTTGGTTGCTTTAGTTGGAGTGGTTGCTGTCAGGAGTATGGTTAAGTTTCTGTGTTTAGCGCTACTTTTTGGTTTAATTTGTGACCAAAAGAAAATCCCCTTTAAAAAAAAAAAAAAACTTCCGGCCTTTTGGATCCGTGAAATGTACGTTCGGTTCTTTTGTAGCAGTTAGTAGCATTTTAGGAAGAGTTTCGCCTTCAAAAACTCGAAAAAGGTGCAAAAAGCTGTGAACTGCAGTTCGGGTGTTTCATTTTCTTTAATTTTCCAATGAAGTATGCATCCTAGCTCCCCTTCTCTCCCCCTTCCCCAACAAAAAAAGGGTTTACACTTGTCCAGTGTTTTCTCAAGATCCAAAGCCCTTGAGTTTTACTATGTAAAAGCTACTCAAAGGTATGCTTAGGCGATACACTAACCATACTCTAACTACGATAACAAGTAGAACCTCTACGCCACCAACAAAAAAAAACAATTACTAGCATCTCTGACAATGGTTACAGTGACGTACATAAAAGTTATCAAAAAATTGGGACAAGACGGTTTCAATGCAGTATACAGCATGAGAATAGCTAGTTGATTAGAGACGCCACTAAAACCGTGCAAGAGGAAAAGTTCCTACCGGTTGTTTGATCTGAATCTCTGGTTGACATTAAAGACGTACGAACAGTTGACATTCCTGAGGAGGAAAGAGTGAAAAAAAAAAATAAAGATATAGCTTTAAGTGTTTGTTTATATTTTCAGCAGGAAACTAACGTTAGTTTAACTTAACCAGCATTCTTGTATCTGGACGAGACCAGTTTTTGTTTCTTATTTCTTTGTTTTAATTGCCCAATGTAAGGTACCGTATCTAACGCAGTCCTGGATTCTGGATTCCACACTGTGGATTTGGGATTCTCAGTACTCAATTCCGGATTCCTTGCTAGCAGAAACCTGGATTCCAGATTGCAATCGTTAGCCGGATTCCGAAGTCCTCAAACTGAATCCCGGACTCCAAAGTCCAGGATTCCAGGTTCCACGAACAAAAATTTCCCTGATTCCGGAATCTGGATTACCTTGCATGTGGTGATTCTTTCTCGCAATAAATTGTTGCCAAATTATATGATCCCAAAACAAACTAAGGAAAAATTCTCAGATTGACTTTATTTTTGTATGCAGAAGTCGAGGACTAATTAGCACTTTAATAATATAGTTTACATGTTTTAGAACAAACCGACCTAATTTAAGTAGCTCATCTAAGTAAATGTTTTACTTACCATCTAATTTAAGTTCTATAACGGACAAATTCGTCATTTCCAAGTGATTGCCGCTTAGGTTCTCGAATACAGTGCCAAGTCCATACAGTCCTCCATCGCTATGAATGGTATTCTTGATTTTAAGTAATAAATGCGTTTGGTTGTACGCCGAGAACACTGTCCTCGCGGTGCAAAACGGCTTCATCATGACGTTTTCGGTGCAATTTCCATTGGCATTTGCACTTGACAAAGTAATGAAAATATTGTTATCTTCATCTTTCCATACCCGATAACCACGAAAATTTTCACTGCTATCATTCTGTGATCGACAGAAAAGCAGCTCTGCATCCTCACTAACATGGACCGTAACTTGTGTAATGTTGCAAGCGACACCTGTAAAACAACGACTTGAAGTGATTATTAGAGCTTTATTTTGACCCATTCGAACCTGTTTTGTTCCTCTGGAACAAAAGGGATGCGTATCATGATCTAGAAATTCTTTGCAGTCCATAATATATGCGAATAGCTGGCCTCCAGCAAACTAAACTACCGTCTATAATAAACTTCCCTTGACCCAAAGGCAACCAGAACGCTTAATAAAAAATTGGACAGGAATATAATATTTGCAAAACATTTCCTTGTCCAGGACAACAAACATTTCGGCACGCTTACTTCAAAAAGTGTTCTAGTGAAAAGTCACGAGTCATACGACAGAAACTGCCGGGTCGCACGTCCGTTTAAATACGTTGTTTAGTGAAACGTGGCCCTTACTCTTAGTAATTGCACCATAAAGTTCCGTCACTCAACTATGCATAAAAGACTACTCACCCGTAAGAAACAGTGATAAAAGCCAAACCAAAGCGACGGAGAACGCTTCCAAAGATAACATGGCTGTTAAAAGGTAACAAATAATATTTTATTGTGCCGTAATAAGCTCTAAGTAAATATGGGGTGTGACTGTCACTCGTTACCAAACTTCTTGAGCGAAAGTGGAGAGATGTGGCATGGAGCAGATCCCGGATTAACAAACAGAAAATGAAGTTCCTTGTTTTAAACAATCAACTAGGAATTTCGAATATTTCAGTAGGTACACTACAAACTGAAGAGGATTTAAACTATTTTACTGAAACCAGCCTTTTTGTCAGCAAGTTCAAGGTAGCGGCATAAAATTAGTGCATACTCACTTAGTGTGACGAGTTTACACTTCCCATTTTTCTCGGAAAGCTGGAAACAAAACCTTTTGTCTTGAACGAAATCAAAACAAATTAATGACTTGATTGTAATGTAAAATTGACCGATAATTTCAACAATTTCAAATCTCGTGCACTCAATTTCTAGAACTTTTACACTTTTCAACTGTCATCTCAAAAAGAGCTGGAGCGGCCAGGATAACAAAACACAGTCACACAGGTTGCCCCATGTAAGGTAATCCAAGACCGTTGTCTTGTGTCTTGGATTCTGGATTCAACTCCGTGGATATCTGGATTCCAGGCACTGAATTCCGGATTCTATGCCAGTGGAGCTTGGATTCCGGATTCCAAAGCCCAGGATTCGGAGCACAAGGAAGGATTTCCAGGATTCCAGAATCTGGATTCCCTTCACCAAATGGAGACACGGGGGAACGGTTTTAGTATCAGTTTCTCTTGCATTTAAAATTTCTGATATTGTTGTTTGAAGCCATTTCATTACGGCAAACAAACAAAATGTAAAACCTGGGAAGATAATACCGGTTGTAAAAGGATACACAACTTTGTTATAAATTGCAAATTCAGTTCAGTGAGTAGAACTTCAGTCTCCACCCTTTTTTAATGCTGAAATAAGTAATTGTTCGTGCATTTACAAAAGCTTTTAATAATACATTGAAATGGTCTAAATTTTCACTGATTTGTTTTTCTGATCAGCAGAATGGTAGAAAATTTGAAAATTCTTGGATCATGTACAATCTTCAGGCCTTGCTCCCTCCTTCCATGCACTCCAAACTCGACTGGATAAAACAAGGGAATGCTTTCCTCCTCCACTCCCTTTCCCCGTGCTTCTCCTCCTGAACTTCTCCACCTTCGCCTCCACTTTCCCGATTACAACAATGACATTGAAAGTACTTATCGCGTAGTTGATCATTTGCTTGGTTCCTTTAATTTCTAACTTTCAGAGTAATTTCTGATTCTTGGAAATTTCAGATTGTATGCGTTAAGTAATACCTTTTAACTCATACAGTCTGAACTTTCTAAGAGTCAGAACTTACTTAAAAGGTAACTGACCGATCTAACGTTTAGCTACATTAAGTACTTTCAATCTCATTTCGACTCCTTGTCAATTAAATTTAGTGTTCATCTTGTTAAAATGTGTGACCGAGGGGTAAATCATCGGGACAAAGATGGTAAATGCCACTGTGCCTCCTAATTTACAACCCCGTGTAAATTGGCATATAAATGTGGCATTTACCATCTTTGCACATCATTTTGCACATTTTTGCGATGAGCAGATTTGGTGAAAATGCACTAAATTTTCGTCCAGTGCTTCAGGAGGAATCATATATAAAGACAAGAGAAGATAAAGGGGACAGAGAAGGCATCCCTTATACACACCCTATTCTATAAGACCACAGATCCCAAGGGGATCCCAAGCGATCCGCCGTGGATGACACCACTCCTTAAGGTCAATGATCAGAACGAACGGTCCCGAGTTTCTTCTCTAAGCTGACAGACTGTGTCTTATTAACAAAAGAATAGCTGACATCACCTTGTAAAATAGAACAAAGTTTATGACTGCGCCTCCAGGTAGTCGAGCATTGTGGAAAGGAGTTGATGAGTCGTCGCAGCGACGTCGTGCATCCTGTAAAAGTAGACCTAGATAAAAGCAGTTTAGTGGACTTGAATGATTACTTGGTAAGCTCTGCTCAGATGACGCGTAAATAGAACCAACTACTGTCACGATCAGCATTGAAGTGGAGATCCCCGTAATTTCCGAATCGCAGGTTTGAAATTTACTTTGCGCATTCAAAAGAACTGCGACTGGACCCGACCAGATTCCTTACTGGGTTTGGAAAGAGCGTGCAGAGATTTTCATGGAACTTCTCAATCTCCACTCAGTGTTTGCCATCATTGAGGAAGCAAGCGATTATCGCTCAGGTTATTCTTTTGTTGCTGTTGAAGTGAAAGTCAAGAAATAAAACAAAACACTTAATGTCAGGTCCCTCGGGAAACCAGTTAAAGGGGGTAATTACATGAGACCGGGACGAACTCGGACCGGTATGAGTTCGTATCGCTCTCCATACATTTCTTTTCATGCGTTTACATGGGACAGGTCTAAAAACGAACTCAGAGCGGTCTGACTTCGTGTCGGTCGCTGACCCGACACGAGGTATTTTCGTACCGGTCTGAGACTGTACTTCTCATGTAAAACGGAAACGAATCTCAGACCGGGACGGTCCATAAATAGCATGTTTCTTCGTATGGCTCCATCATTTTTACTTTTTGTTAGCAAAATAAGAACACTGCTATGAATTATAACTGTAAACAAGACTTGGAAGTAGCTTCAATTGAATATATGCTTCGGTTAATGTGAGGGATTGCACCATTTTGAGATGCTGTGCATTTAACATGCCACCAGATGAGCGTTAGATAAAGTTTACAATTTTTTAGGAACAGTAAAATCTGCGGTTCTCTACTCACTGTCTTAAACCCCATTTACGCGCGCTAAAAACATCGGCACGGCAAACCAAATTTTTGGCACCGTGCTGACGATTTAAGGCACGGCACTCCCAATTTTCGACGTGTAAACGTATCGGTCCCAAATGTAATGTGGTACCAGTGCTTGCTCAAAATTTTAGGGGTGCCGAGACTACCTTCCTCCTGGAGGTGGTGCCAGAAATTTGGCGTGTCGTGCCGATTATTTTAGCGTGTGTAAATGGGGTTTTAATTGGCGTAAATTGTGTACCAGTTAGGACAGTTAGTGAATAATATGTTAAATAATCGACTTAAGAAAGTTAAATAGCTCCAAGAATCTCCTGTTTTTGAGTTTGTACCGGTCTCATCTAATCAACGAAGCGTTTCGTCCCGGTCTCATGTAATTACCCGCTTAGTTTTGTTTTCCCTCGAGTCCTGATGTTTCCCTAGGGATCTGGCATTAAGTGTATATTGTTTTCCCAGCTAATCAAAAACAACCTTTCAAATAGGTGCGGGATCGCCGAGTTCGTGTGTTGATTGGTTAGTCCTATTGTAAATACGGCTCCCGACCAATTTCTCGGAAACGCCAGAACACAGCATCAAAAACGTTGGCAAATAGCACGCGATTTATTTCACTCTCTCCTTTGATAAATATTTCATGTAAGGCTTGGGCTCAGTTCATCGTAGAAACAAATAGTCAAAAAACGGCAGGTTTCTCTTATTATCATAAAATTATCTACGATGCTTTTACTTTGCATCATTGTGATTCCGGGTGTTATAGGTAAGTTGCAAAAGACTTAAAAGATTAGTTAATCTTAGTCGTGTCTTAATAATTTGCCATCTTATTGAGTCGCTAGGATGAACGAATCTCTTTTATATTATTTGGTTTACATGGCGAATGAAAGAACCGGGCGGAAAAAGTTAAGGTGCTTATGTTCTTTTTTAAATAACAGAGAATTCTGACTGAAATTCTCATTTCTTTAAGGCTAACCTTTTAGAGAGCGTGTCTTAAACGGAAGTTTCGATTCAGGTCTTTATTCGTTCCATTTAATAATCATTTAATGATTCGATGTGTTTTGCCTAAGCATTTACTGCTAAGAAAGAAGGGAGATTCGAGGGCAAACAGCAGCTGCAAAGTAACATCGAAAAGTCGTAACGGAAGTAAGAGAACTGAAGTGGAAACTCAGGGAGCGCGCACGATAAGTTTTTGCCAGGTGACATTTTTGTTCGTTGTGTTTATTCAAATCTATGTGTCTGACTTAGTCAACGAGAAAAACTATTCCAATCAGCGTTCAAATCTTTCTTCAGTACACTTCATTTAATCCACAGCTTGATTACTATCAATCGACGGCGTAAATATCGAAACTCATGGGTCTCTTTCAGTTTCCTTACAACTTTTAACATTGTATGCTTTGTTTATTCTTCCCGTTTTCCGGGAAAGCCTTCAATATTAATCAGTTTGTGATACGTAAGTGAATTTTAATCACCAGGAAGGTAAGGAATCCTGGACGCGGAATTCTGCAACAGGAATACTGAACTGTCAGAGATTTCGGAGCTTTGTGGGCCAGTTAAGGCGAACTATCTGCCTGGATTTGCCAGCAAAAATGTGTCTGCTCTAAAGACTTTGCTCGAGGCTCTCGTCTTGTCCAAAGTAGCCATTATAAAAACAAAAGGTGCACCACCTCATTCATCATTTCCTCCCTCTCCTTTTCCTGTTCTGGTGTGATTTCCGGGTTTCTCGGACCCCTTACAGTCAAAGCACTGGTCAAGCGTATCCCCCATTAGATTATAAAATTCCGAAAATAAGCCCCGAGGCTTATATTTTTTAAAGGCCCTTTTTGAGGGGCTTATTCTTGGAGGGGCTTATATTCGAAGGGGCTTATCTACGGAGAGAAATTTGCGTTTCAAAATCAGTTGGGTTAGCCTTGTAGTTGGAAGGAAATTTACCGTTTTTTCTTTGTTTTAATTTGTATTTGAGGGCAGTTTCCAAGTACAAGCCCCCGGGGGTGCTTACATTTGGAGGGGCGATTTAACGGAGGGTTTTTTGCGTTACGAGTTTGGGGAGCTTATATTTGGAGGGGCTTATACATGGAGGGGCTTATTTTCGGAATTTTACGGTCTTTGAAAAATGATCCGTTAGTCGTTCTGTAACTGGCGTTAAATTCAAATCGGCATTCCTGCATGCGTAACGAGCAGTGAATATTTCAACGAGAACTTCTCTATATTTGGTCAGATTGAAAATCTTTGAATGGAAAATTGCTTTGAAGACACTTACATCAAATTCAGGGAAACTGAGCTGGTAGTTCATAACTGATTCGCGTGTGGATTCACGGCTCATTGCGCACTCAGGAATGCAGAGAGGAATCTGAAATCTACAACTACCAACGGATTCAACTTTCGAATAATAAATTCATTAATGAAATATTAAGGGCATATGATAGAACATGAACTGGACGACTGGCTTAGCAAAACATGGACTGGATTGATAAAGCATGGATTAATAAAACATGGATTGAATAAAAGATGTATTAATAAAACATGCATTAATAAAACGTGGATTGATAAAACATGGATTTATGACCAAATGAGAAAAGGGGTTTTTCCTATGTTTTATATGAACTGAATATGACAAACATGACTTAGGTACGGATGTTTCAGTAGCTCTTGCTTTTCGTCACGCAACATTTCCCTTTCGGAAATGAAATTAAATGAGACGAGTTATATTTTATCTCTCAGTTACTTTTTATCAAAAGGGTCATTTCATTTTGTCAACAATAAAAGTATTTCGTATAAAATAGACGGTTGCATTATTCAAACTGTCAAAGACCATGGAAAAGTTTGCCTTTTCACCATTTCTTCGTCCATAATACCGGTGTAGTATCGAGGCCAGAAATAAGCGTTGACAGGCCAAACACGACTCTTGATAATGTGAAACGTGGCCTAAGAGTTTGCTTGAACAAACAGAGGTTTTTCTTCTTTTCTGTTCGCGCGAAGGTTACTAGCACTACACAGTGCATGAAGCATTCTAAACTTTGACTGAGTAAATCTTGTTTTTGCCTTAATAAGTCTTACATTTAGAGGTCATGAAGCAGGTTTTTTACATGCATTCCCCGGAGGGTACTCAACAAATGCTTATACGGGGAGGCTCCGCCCAAAGGTCCAAAAATTACCCCTTACCCTTTTATATACAAATTTTCTCATGAAAAAGGTACCCCTTTCGTATACCTTCTATTGACAAATGGTACCCTTTTCACATACCTTGTTTAGAACTTTTCATCTCTTTTAACCGCTGTAAATGCACTGTCTTTTGAAGAATCAATCACAAAAATAGAACTTTTTCTCGGCTTGTTAAAGCCATAAAATTCATCTGTTAGCCCTTTTGGGCCCTTTTACAAGCCCAAATGACAGATTTCCCTACCCTTTTTATATACTTCAACTACTGAAATCCCTACCCTTTCATATATCTGAAGCCTGAAAAAGGCATACATACTGAGTAATCATTTCCTGTGGTTTTATGTTTCTATAGGTGTTCTTCATAGGATTTGATCGAAGATGCAGTTGTTAAGTACTAATTTTCTTTGACCTCTGTTAAAGCCTAAAGCTTTAATTTATTACGGCTAAATAAGGATTTTAGTTTCTTGGTTTTCTCCGTAAGTGTCGCTTTGTCCGCGTTGTGATGTGTTTTCTTTAAGGTGAAAAACGCTTGTTTTGGGCTGAACCGGGCATGATAGTATCTGACTAGGTTGCAGTGGTGCGAGGTCACTTACATGTCCTAGTGAGTAAGAGAGTGTGAGAGTGTCTTTTATCAATCCATTATTTTATTTAACCAGTCCACGTTCAGTATCAATCCAGTCCAGTCCATGCTTTATCATATGCCAATCTTGGAGGGTACGCTTGACCTGGCTTGACTGTAAAACTTACGTTTTATCCTTATTTGGTCAAATAGCTGCTTTTATGAAATTCATCTAGTATATACTCGTCAAAGAAAAGGAGAAGAGAGTGGATTAGTAGTTGACCCATATTTTCTATTTTCTGGGAGATCCCGCAATCCGCCTGTCATCTCTTGAACAGCTCCTGGCTATGTTGATAAAATGTCCTCGTCATGATAATAAAACTTGTAGAGTTTGGAAGACGCCAGAAGGTGTTTACGTCACTTAAAAAAAAGGAGGGGAAGAGAAAAAAAGCAATGGTCGCACTCTTTGTTTCAGATCATATGAAACAGAACTTTTAGAGAAAGTCAAGAGGTTTGGTGGGTTGCACTAAGATCACGTTTTGAAGTTAAAAACGATCACTTCCCCCGTCTTCCGAGATCTGAATTGAGTTAAAATAAAAGATTATCGCTATCTACAAGCCTGGATTTGCCGGCCCACTCCCGGGGTGCCAAAGCCGCCAGTTATCGCCAGTGCAACACAATTTTTTAAATACATGACAATTCAGCCTGATGCGAGGTCAATTTTCAAATGAATGAAGCCCGGGGGAGGTACTTTAAGAATTTCTGGGTGGGGATGTGCCGCTGGGACCCTGGAACCCTTAACCTATACCAGAGCTAGTTCAGCTGAATTTTGCTACCCTATACTAGAGGAGAATGAAGCAAATGAATCACTCTTTCAGCTTCACATCAAGAACAGCGTCCAAGGATCATTTCAGGACCAAGCCATCCCATAATTGGAAAAAAGCAAGGAAACTTAACATTTGACTGGACTTTCAAACTCTTGCCTGGGAGGACCTGGATCGAGAGCGTGGAACATGTGGCTTTCGGGTTCTGGAAACCACCAGGATATCTGAAGACAAAGCTCATAGTTATCGGTAAAAATGGGGAAGTAATGATTCGACAAAACCAGCAGAGCAAAATAAGCTGCGCATTCAACATGTCTCTTCTGCAAGTGGCATTTACGGTTCATGATTTAGGCATGGGTGACGAGAACGAATACGGTCTTCACGTTGAGCTTGGCTTGGCGCGGAAGCCCTTAATTGACGTTGTTACGCTTCTCTTGGAGGGTAATATTATTAATAGTATTACAGCATACACTGCTTTTTAATAGTAGTTTCAGCTAGCGCTGTTAAAACTTGTTCTATTTTTCTAGATTTTTTATTTAATTTGTGCATGGTATACCTTGAAGGCAGTAGGTCGGCTGTTTTTTGGCTCGACTTTGGCTTCTGGGATTGACATGCAGGGCGATTAGTTATCCCTAATATAATGAGCAAATCATTTTATCAGTTGTGCGAGGCTATATTCGTATTCTTCAAGGTTTTAACAGGCAAAAGTGATCTTTTCGATGGTAAAAAGATGATTTTCAAATCGAATACGGTGACTCCCATTTTGATACACTTTTGGACTTTCTGAAATGACTGTTGACCGTGCCAATCTGTTTAATTTTGAATCGCTGCTTTTTTTGAAAATTTGAGGTGGCTTTTTCTTCTTGGCCAAATATGTTTACACTGATTACACGTTTCTAACTGACAGACCCACCCAAAATTGTCAGACCTCCGAAAAGGAATATTTCTTTGAGGACTGGAGACGAACTATCGTTGAACTGCAAGGCCACTGGACTTCCGCGTCCACAGGTCACGTGGGAACGATTTGGAAGGGTTGTGAAAAACCACTCTATACTGTTAGGACGAGTGAACAAAAATGACAGTGGACTGTACCTATGCAAAGCTAAAAGTTCTGCTGGGGAGGACAGCATGAAGATTTTTGTTAGAGTCGAGGATAAAGAGAAACCAACAGTAGCAACAGGTGAGGAGAGCTGGTGACACGAGTTGTATAGATTGTACCCGTAGAAGACACTAATATATTCTATTTTAATCTGCTATTTTTAGCTATGCAGTCGAGTTTAACAAATTAGTCACTATATTTACAGTTCACACTTGGATTTTTATCATCAGGGCATTAGTGAGGATATAAACGTCCTGATAGACATGAACATGGGACTTATGGGGGAGGCGGGGGGGAGCAGGTGTGACCGGCTCGTGAGGTATCTTTGTCAGGTTTTTCCTTGACTTTTTCAAAACTCCTTTAAGGAAGTAAAACTGTTTTAAAAGTACCCAGTTTGAAAATTAATATCATCTATATTACAGTACTTCTTGTAATGAAAATCACACATATCTATTCAGCAAAGGCTAAACTTTCAGAAAATTAACTAATTAATGAGGTGTCAATTATTACTCTTTTTAATTGTTTTAGAGGCTATGTCCCGAAAACTAAAGCATTCCACTGGATTTCAGACTAGACAACACTTTTGAGTTTTATTTTCACTCCACTAAACAACAGCAACAGACATAATATCAAAGGATATAAGTTTATTTAGGTAGGGCTTTGTGAGAACCAACTCTGCAATGTACTGACGTGTATACGTTAACACAGCAATCAGAAAAATAGCTAATGTACGACACTCGTATTTTTGCTTTCACAAAAAACTGCTACGACCGGCCAATCTCGACCTGTACCCCCAATTAAGCAAACAGGCCCTGTGCTAGTTAGGCCACCATTTAGGCTGAGGGAAATAGATGACTGGGAGAGGGAACACTGTAGGAACTCAGACGCTGAGGGTCAGAAAAACTGGGAATCTATCTTTAACATAGCGGGCTCATCTTCACTAATGTACCCAACAACTGGAGGCACGTAGGCCAATATTGAGGTTACCAGAAAAGGCTAGGGCACAACATCTAGGTAAACAGATGGCCAACGATCCTGGCTAAAGGTCTGCAACATTGCCAATCTAATGGCGTCAATCTTGACTTATGTGGCCACCTAAGGAGCAGTTCCGGGGTAGCTGACAGAAGCGTACATAGAAACTACATATTAAATAAGTTAAGAAACAGGTACAAAACTGTAATAACCGTAAAAATACGTAAGATAAGAAACGGACAAAGTGCTGAAAACTAGTAGAGCTGAGCTGCTGGTTACAACTTAAATAAATTCGGTCAGACAGAGGCCAGAAAAAACCCGAACGGAAAAAATGTGGGCAGTAAATCTAGGAGGGAAACAAGGATTAAGCCCAGAGTCCTTTCTACGGAACTTTACAAGATAATCGAGAATATGCCCGGCGCCTAAAATGAAACAAAAGAGCTAGAAACCAAGGAAAGGTTGGTTCAGAAGCCTAGATGACGAACAAGTGAAATACGCAGCCTTATACATACCCCCGCATAGCTTGGTATGGATACCCGTGGTGCCACTGGCCTAGCACCCAGACCCTGTTTTATGTCGTGCCGTCAAAATATTTATTTCCGCCTTCTTCGTGGGCTAATTCGTCAAAAATAGCACAGCTTTATCATCAATACTATACTATCAATCCCTATAATTAAAAGAAATTGGTAGTTTCTTGAAAGACACTGAACAATACCCACACCACGACAAAATCGCCAACCTACAATAGTCTTGCCAAAACGAAAGAATTAACACCCAAGAAATTGCAATCAGAACGAGGAAATTTATATGTTACTGCCATTCCCAGCTTTTTTCTCGCTAGAAGACTGTAAGCAGCTAAAACAAACAAATTTTAAGCACTTTTATACTGGTTTTTAACGATGGTTTAAAACACTTCGGACCATCAATACCTAAACCATCTGCACTCATTTTCATGCATATTACTTCTTGTAATCGGAAGAAACGGGTCGCCTTTGTTATTACTAATTCAATTTAGTAAGCAATCTGCACAAAAAATCCCTCCCAAACTTCATAAAATTCTGCAGTATTGATTAGGGTTCCTATCTATCTCAAATTAGTCTTATCACAGAATTGGGAATAATCCCGTGTGGTGTACTACGTTAAAAATGCGTCGTTTTCTTATTTCAGTTTCTGTTTCTGGTGCAACGATACCGCAAGATAAAAGCCCTGAGTGGAGGACAGTCATATTGGTTGGGAGCTTATCAGGATTAATTGTTTTGGTATCACTGGCGGTATTCACCTTTTATTGCAGGCGGTGCAGACGATCAAGAAAAAGCAACGCCTATGACTCTTTGCAGGAAAATACAACAGGAACAACTATTTAAATATACAACATTTCTCTCACCCTTCACCAGCATTAGTCGATTTAATTAAGGACAACATCTGCTATTGTCAACAATGAAACACCTACAGTCAAAACTCTTGCAAATGAAAAGCTTAAGAATTCATAAAGTGGTCGCAGCTAGAGCTGGTCGTTTCCAAGCGTGGGCTCTAGACCATTAATTATCAATACATTCAGCCAAAAATAATATTCAGCTATCCCCTGAGCGAGAGGTCAATAGTGGTGGAAATATCGTGGTCACATATCTAGCGCTATGAACTTACCCCGAGGGGGATAATTGTTTTAGTATTAACCAAATCAGTTGGATAAAAATCAAAAAGGAACTTTCTATAAATAAAACACGTCACTTTGTTAGAGTTTGGTTACGTTTCAATTGACAGTGTTTTGGGGATCATTTTTTTTATGATTTTGTTGCAAACTCAGTAAGAATTTTTTTCTGGCAACCAGTAAACACCGACAAGCCAAATTTTGTCTCTTTCTTGGTATTTGTTGGTTCGGGTGCTTGATTTACCGCTAAAATTTTATCTTTCAAAGCCTTCCAAAAACAGTGAATATCCAAGGATATTCAGAGTTACGGGAGCCAATCAGAACGCCCGAAAATTGTTGTCCACTGATTTGGTGAATACTAATATTAGATAGTTTCATTGCCATATGTGTATGGCAAAACACCACACAAGCGTCTGCCTGGGCCCCCCTCCCCACTGTGGCTTTTAATTGCACCCCATATTATTTTTTAAAGTGTAAAAAACCTTATTCGATCCTCTGACTAGCTAGAATTCATTTACAGCGTAGCTTTCAGTAAGTATAGCATAATCTTAGTACGTATAAAATAAAATGCCGTCCGTTTTAAGGGCCCAAAACTGCTGTAGCCTCAAAGCTTTGTTGTCTTGCGAAAAGATGTGATCATCATGTCACGAGCGCGGGACAATGAAAAAAATCTGTGTAAGTCCCCGATATGTCGTACATGAACCTTGTGTATAGCCTCGCCGCAGATAACCTGCGTCGCAGACGCTCTAAACCTTCCATATAGAGCGAATTAGTGCACAATATCGTTCGAGTGCCGTAGAGTCGCAAGGACATACGGCGGCGTTAGTGATTGGCTAGTTTCTTCCACAGTTTGTGATTAGTCCGATTTGAATTGGGTGTTGACAGGCCAAACATGACTCAAAGCTCGTGACAAGAGAGATTGAGCTCGTAATAGTGTGAAACGTGACCTTAGAGTAGCTTGAACAACAGATGTTTTTCTTGCTCTCTTTTTGCGTAATTTATACAGTGCGTGGAGTATTCTACAATTTGACTGAGCAAATTTTTTTGCCGCTTTCAGTCTCACATCTAGCTACATTTAGAGATTTAGATTTATCTAGATTTACATTGTGAAGCTGGTCTGTTCCCTGCATATTGAGTAATTAGTTCCTGTGGTTTATTTTTTGGCAAATGTTTTCTGAGAGGATTTGATCACAGATGCATAAATGATTTTCTTTTACCTCTGTTTAAGCCTTAAGCTTTTTTATTGCGGCTAAATAACCTTAGTTTCTTTGGTTTTCAACGAAATGTCTGGACCTGAATAGCTACATATGTGTAGTTTTTTTTTTTTATTTTTATCGTGAATATCATGATTTCCAGATTTGTTTTGACTCTACAACTGTCGGTAGTGCATCTGCAGCGATTGGAAGACGTTGGAAAACCAGCCGGCCTTGAAGTTATTAACTTTAAACCTTATTTTTGTACAGAAGACGGCTTTAAAGTTTGAACCGCTCTTTCATTGTTTACTGTAAACGAAAGCGGGGAATTTCATATATCCCATGATGCATCGCTTCATACTATATTATCAGCTTCCGAAGGCACGTGCTCCTATCAGTTCAACAGGGACGTGAAATTTTAGCCAGCGTAGCAGGGGTTGAAAGGGGTAGCAGGCTATGACAGTTGAGCAACGGTGGAAAGCCACTCAGTTTTGCCGATAAAACTTTCGTACCTTCGCTGTGTCGATCTATTTACATTTTACTTTTACTCTTCCAAATGTATCTCTTGTGAAGTCAAAGAGAGTGTTTTGGCCGCCGACTATGAGTTAACTAGCCTTACGATAGCAAGGCAGTCCACGCAAATGTTCTTAGAAGCTAACGAGGAAGGTCTTTGCTTCAGTACGTCCTGTTTTAACGTGCGTTGATAAAGCTCTCCATGGGTTCATAAGCGATTTCCACGTACTTGTCTTGAAATAAATACATATTCTAGGTGTGAGATTTCTCTTCTTTGCTTGTTTGTGATCGTAGTACTCATACATGTATTGCCAGTTCAATAATTCATCGATGTAGTACGTCAACCGTACGGTGAACGCACATGCTTTTACTTCAACAAGCTCGGTGTATAGGAGGTAAAATTCAAAGGAGGGGAATAACTCCAAGAAACAATAAAAATAACGAAGACATCTCTATATTTTTCGTAACCATCATTGAACCATCATTGTCAAACATAAACAGAAAAATAAATAATTTTTCAAGAAATGGCAAAATACATATGCAAAAACACCAACTTCTTCGCTACAATGGATCCTAAAAGAATTATCAAAATGTCTTTAAAGGTTTTATACGCCGGTTGAGGTCCTATGGCATGCTATTCCGTGACATTTTCTGGCCTCTATATTTCAAGTTCGCCACACGCGGTTGCGACCGGAAGCCACCATGAGAAACTAATTTTCCCTAAAATAATGAGACAGAAAAAGCTTTAATACTATAAACCATTGAATTTAAACATTCATCATACCCTCAAGAGATAATATATGTGTTTTGATCAGCGAAAAAAGAGGGAATTCAAGAAGAAATGTCCCATCTTCGCAGGACTTAGTATAAAGAAATTGAAACCTTCGTCTTGCATCTTTGCAGAGAAAGGGCAGAAAATGCGATATTTCAAAACGATCAAACCCATAAAAATCGCGAGGTCGAAAGAGATCGGAGTGTGGAACTAGTGTCAAGCACTCCTTGTCCGCTGATTTAAATAATTTGTTAGGGCAAAACCTTGCTAGAGTAAAGACAGTTTTCGATAATTGAAAGTATCTAAATAAATATTCACTTGCGAGTTAAAACAGCATGGCTTAACAGGGTCGTAAACGAGAGCAATAATGCGAGAAATGACCATGGAAACATTTTACATTATCAATCAGATACCAAAGATTAACAGGGCTCATTGAAACATACCTTGGATGAGCTGCATCTTGAAATTCAGGTCGTTGAAAATCTCCCTCGAAACTCTCGAACGCTCTTTCCAACGCGGAATTAGCCGTGAAGCATTATGGGATATATGAAATTCCCCCCTTGTTGTAAACGATCCTTGCCAACTCCCTTATGTGAATTTTGACATGTCACTGCGCCCAACCGTCACGCACACGTAAGAATTAGGCCAATCGTGAGGCTCGTAAGAGATCGGTAGGAAACCCGCCTATCAGAAACGCTCACATATGTCCTTGCGACTCTGCACAATATTAGAACGAGCTTTTATGCATTAATTCGCAGACGGACTATATAAATGGTTTGGACGAGTGCGTTGGCCGGCTGCAACGCAGGCTACCCCGCAGACGTCCTTTGGGCTTCGTTCAGCTGGTCACGCATTCATTTCTCTCCCGCGGACGTCTGCTAAACACAGTCGACATTTACGTCCTTGTTTGTTTGAATAAGCCAATAAGCGGTTAGTTATTGCGTCACGATCAGCCAATAATGAGCTGTGATACAAGTGAAACGGCACCTACGAATTATTTCTCGCTTTTTAAGAGGAATATTTATTCCATGCCTATGCACGGATGAGACGCCGAAGAAAGTTATAAGAAGCGAATTTTTTTGTTGTCTTTGCAGCTGTAATTTAGGAAAGGACCAAGTTCGTGTGTTTAGAAAAAGCGCAGTCGACAAAGGCTCATCAAACGTGCTCTGGACGTTGATGTGTCTTTGTATTCTTCAAGTGAATTATTTATTTGCCCAGCTATCTTCTACCTGAGACCGTCAGACTCAAACGTTTTGAGAAAACCACAGAAATGATGCAATAAAGCTGTAGTCAGCTGTATAGTTTTTTCGGACGTTGTTGTAAGTATAAAATAATTTGCTTAGTTTAGACCATAATTGTGGTCCGAGAAATCTGAGAGAATGTTTTCCATAAGTAACAGTTTTAAACCGAGGTAAGACAAAATCTGCATTTCTTAGGTTATATCTCTTACTATTAATATTCTCCTCGTTGATATTAAAAATATCCGCAATTTGGTTCACTGTTAATTTGTTTTTTACTTTAAACATCAAAATGAGTATATCCTGCAACCTCCTATTTTGTAAAGTAGTCAACTTAGCTCTTTTCAGCAAGGTGTCATAGCTTTCGGTAGTAGTATTATACACTAATCTTAAGGCTCTTTCTTGTACACGCTCCAATTTACGACTATCAGATGCCGTGCAAAAATGCCACACTAGGTGGCAATAAGTAAGGTGTGGCATAATAGCTGATTTGTACAAAAGTAACTTGGCATTTACTGGCATAAGATTTTTAAGCCTTCTTAATATTCCGATCATCCCACCAACTTTCTTACACACACTACGTATATGATCTGTAAAGTTTAGGTTTTCATCTAGGTTTACACCTAGGATCTTGATGGATTGTGACTGTTCGACTTTTTCGCCACATATATCCAGATCAACGTTCCTTTCTCCTTTTGGATTTCCCAAAACCATGGCTTGATATTTATCGCAATTGACTTTTAAAAGATTATCTTGATACCATTTAGTCATCCTCTCTCCATTGTCCACCAGTATCTTCTCCACGCTTTTGGTTGTTTCGTTTGCTACAAAGACCTGATGGTCATCCGCATACATCGAGACATTGGCATCTGATATTATGCTAGGCATATCGTTCTGGAAAATATTCCACATGAGTGGTCCAAACGTACTTCCCTGTGGACATCCTCTCTTCACCACAACCCAGTCACTTGTTACAGAACCTATCCTTACTCTGTTCTTTCTTCCCTGAAAATATGATCGTATGAGCTGTATGGCTTTATCGGAGAAATTGTAGGCTTGCAGTTTATTTATGAGCAACTGAGGGCTCAGAGAGTCAAAAGCCTTGCTCATATCCGAAGACAATATGCCGACAATTTTCTTGCTGTCTAGTTCAGCTCTCCATGTTTCGGTCAGCCTAATCAGCGTGGTCTCACAGCTATTCTTTGCACGATAGGCAGTGATAGCATCACTGAGTCTATCATCCATAAACTTACTGACTTGTTGGCCCAGCAATACTTCATAGACTTTATTCACGCATGGCAACACCGTGATAGGTCTATAGTTTATATCCCTTTGTTTGTCATCCTTCTTATGTACCGGTATCCATTCTCCGCGCTTAAGCTCTGCTATCCATTCTCCATTTCTAATCGATTGGTTAAAAATCACAGTAAGAGATGGAGCTAACTCAGTGGCACCTACTTTAAGGATCTTAGGGTCCATCCCGTCATATCCCCTTGACTTATTGGGGTTTAGGTCGTTCATGACTTTTCGTAATTCTTCACAGGTAATTTCGTTAAATTCAAAGTGGTTTACTTGTAGATCTCTCTTATTGAGATAAGTCGATATATTGAGAAGAGAGTTGTGATTCATGAAATCAGTTTCCGCACAGTCATTTACGTGGTCCCCTCCAATTCCATCAGCCATGGCAGAGAAAAAAATTAGCAAAGTGGTTAACTACTTCATATTTGTTCGATCCCCTTCCAACTTATCATTAACTTTCAGGCAGATATTACCGATGCTTCCCTGTTTGTTCTTGAAATCAGTGAATGGTCTAAACGTTCTGTAGAACTTTCTTGGATCAGACTTGACATTATCTGATACTTTTTTCCAATACTGCCTGATTGCTTTTCTTCTTTCCTTGGTGGCCTCATTGCGCCACTTCCTCTTCAATTCAAAATTCTCTGGTGTGGGATGTTTACTGAATTTTTTTGAGAAGCGTAACATCATGTAACATCATTTCTTGAGGGATGTGGGAGTGAATGCCGCTTATGCTTAGATTAAGAGGACGTACGCATATTTACTTATTCATTTTAGTGTCCGAGCTAATATACGCATTTAGTTTTTATATTGTAAATTTTCGAACTTAGCTTCGAAGTGTTAAATCTAGAACTTAGTTTTTAGAGTGTAAAAGAGCACTTAGCTTGAATAGTGTCAATTTCCGGCTTTTATAGTACTTAATTAGTTTCTATTAATGATGTAATTTAGTTTTAAAGGTGTCCCCAATTAGTGCCAATAGGCACTAGAACGACAAGACACTTTAATAAAGGTTATGTATGTATGTATGTATGTATGTATGTATGTTGCTTTTCTTTGAAAGACTTCAGACAACAGTCTCCCACACGAGCGCGGAGCGGTTTTCAGCGCCGTCGAAAACAGTTACTATTAACTCTGTATATATATTCGAAGAATTAAGTAAGTACGAGAACTCTTGTAATCGTGTATAAGGAAGATTTTTAACGCACTCTTCGAAAACAAAGGCCGTTTCCTTTTTACTGGGCTGCCTGTGCGGCCCAGTCATAAATTCGGTTTTCGGTCGTCGGTGTCAAAAGATGGTCTCCGGGGGGAGGGAAGACACGAGGGTCTGGTACTGAGAAACGAGGTTCTCACAAATGGTTTCATATGATATTGTCTTGCACGAACCTTGCACGGATACTTTTTGTACCTCGTCTCCGCTCCCCCTGAAAAACCCACAAGGCGTTGCGAACCTGAAGTAGGCTATTTGCGTTGTCCGAAGCGATTCGATCGTAGAGTCACTCTATAATTTTTTTATTGTTCGCGTTTAAGTCAGTTAGATGATGTTAGCGCTGGAAAACTCAGAGAAATGCTCACGTTGCATACAAACCGACACGCCGTTCACGGTAGGTTCACATTAAAAGATAACTGTTGCCGTCAGGTTTGGAACGCCGGGGCCGCTTCGTGAACTCAAAGAGAGAATTACCGATGGATGTAGTACATGAGCAATTAAGAAGGAATGAGGAAAGTATTTCACCAGCTGACGACACTATGGCTGAAGGCTTGATTGTAAGCTGTCGTAGTCACTGAAGCGAACAACTCAGTTGCTAATGCATGGCAGGTGAATACGTGACAACTTTGCCGTGTTAGAAAACTGGCTTTTCCTTTAAATATTTCCTTCTATTTAACGCAACACACGCCACTTTGGAGGTTTAAATGTCGGATACTGAGGATAAAGAAGACACGGACAAAAATAGGAACTCTGAGAATTTCGCC